AAAAAAAAAAAAAAAAAAAAAACATGTGTCATTTTTTAAATAGGCCACATCATTGTGGAGGAGGCATCAGGAGCCAAGCATTGTCCTTTTAGAAAACCCAACCCGTTAGTTACATTAAAAATTTAGATTATTATAAATAAACCCAATTCTAGACATGTATTTACAAAAAAACTCACGCACTATTTAAACATAGAAACACACCCAAAAGCAACCCCAAAATCAACAATTGTATATTTTTTGGGTGTGTTTATAAATGGGTCTTTTGTGTGTGTAATGATGGGTTTTGGGTGTGTTTATAAAGTGTTTTGGGTGTTGGGTTTTTTTATAATTTCAACCCCCATTTTGGGTGTTTTAGTGAAACTCCCTTAAAAATTAGGTTAGATGTCTTCTTCTTCCTAGCGTCACCTACTCCTTCCTCTCGTTGTTTCGACTTCATCACTCTCTCGGTCTTCCTTCCTAACAAGCAGTGCCTTAGTGCCACCTTAAGCGTCGCCGCCTCCTGCGCGCTTCAACCGCGCCTCGTCGACGCCTCAACGGCAAAACGCCAGGCCTAGGCGGGCGCTAGGCGGGGGCTAGGCGGCCGAGGCTGGGGCTAGGCGGCCTAGGCGGCGCCCAACTCCCTGGCGCCTACGCCTTAATGAAGATGCATGATTTATACAGATTTTACTCATTGTAAGTTTGTAACTTTCTGCAGAGATTGAGGCTATAAGACATCCATTGAAGTGCCTAATTTTTATACTCATTTCTGTGGCTGTGTGCTATCTGGTTTCTTTTCTTCTTAAATTTTTAGTTATTGCATCGCGTATGCAGGACATAGAGTGGTTGAAATCTATTACAAACTTGCCAATTCTGATCAAGGGAGTACTCACTCATGAAGTTGGTAAGATGAACTGATCAAGGCTCCAAATAATCGTATCTTTATCTTTACGTCTTGTAAGTATTAACTCGTAAAGGGAAAGATCAATTTGCGTAAAAAGGAAAAAGGTCTCGTAGATGTTAACTTCTCTCGGTATTCAAAGCATGATGATCAGTCAAAATAATCGACTCGGTGAAATACATTGGATTGACACTTGAAGTCAAATTTGGCATTAGCCCTTCTGAATAGGTGTTCCTCTTTCTACCATTTCAGCAAGAAAGGCTGTGGAAGTAGGTGTTGCTGGGATTGTTGTCTCTAACAATGGAGGCCGCCAACTAGATTATACTCCTACTACCATTTCTGTCCTGGAAGAGTTAGAACTCTATTTCTAATTCATAGATTTCTGGTGTAACCTGCAAAGCACAAACATGGCGTAACTTATGCATGGCTAAGCTTGTATAAACCCGAAATAGGATCTCAAGAAAAAAGGAGTCTTTAAAAGAAACTCTCCCATTGGAAAAGTTGTAAGAATGTTCAATCATATATATCTGTAATGTTCTCAGGTAGTTGACGCTGTTGGAGGAGAAGTTCCTGTTCTGCTTGATGGAGGAGTACAGCGAGGAACAGATGTGTTCAAGGCATTAGCCTTGGGTGCACAAGCTGTCCTTGTAAGATATCTATATCTATACAAGCTGCCCTTCTGATATGAACCCTTAAACTGCTTGTATTGTTTTGGATTTTCTTATTGAAATACAGGCAAATGTTGCTGCAGGTTGGAAGGCCTGTAATCTATGGCCTTGCAGCAAACGGAGAACGCGGTGTGAGACGGGTTATCGAAATGCTGAAAGATGAGTTTGAGCTCACTATGACCCTCTGTGGCTGCCCTGGTGTTATGGATATTACCAGGAGCCATGTGAGAACAGAATGTGATAAACTCCACTCCATGCTTTAATTTGTTTTAGAAGCATCAAACGGGAAACTACTTCAATTAACAGCTATTGGAAATCAACTTGTTTTTTCTTCTCTCTTATATTGTAGTTCAACTTCATTAAACGGCAGGTTAAATTTATATTTACTATGGAAGTGATAGCATAACATGTGTTTATGTGTCAACGGAGAGAACCATCTTTCGGAAGGAGTAGGCGACGCTGGGAAGAAGAAGACATATAACCCAATTTTTAATATAACTAACGGGTTGGGTTTTTTAAAATGGGCTTAAACATTGTATTAAAATGACCCAATTGCAGTTTTTTTTTTCAAAAAATTTTATATCTAGGTTACAGAAAATATGAAAGTAAAAGTCAGATAATATCAGGTTAGAAAATGTTAGAAGTTTTTTTTTATACTAGCCTCTCTGCACGCGCTTCCGCGCCTGCAAGAGGTTTTTTAAAATTTATTTTAGAATAAAAAAAGATAATGGGTAGTTGTGTTCCATAAAAATAAGATCTATTATCTAATTTTTCTTTTAATTTTAATTTTTTTAAATATGAAAAAGTGTGAATTTACCATATTATCCTCATTTAATTAATAATTTCAATTCTTAATGTTTGCATTAACTAAGGGCATTTTTTTTAA